TGGCTACCCCTCCATAATAATCTCTGAAGAGAATATTAAAAAAAAAAGACACTTGAAAAAGAAAAAAAAACAAAAAAAACAATGGACTAATTTTGTATGTCTGAGCAGAACCAGGAAAGCATGGCAAAATTGTTGTTTACCCCAGGAAAGTCTGGTCTATGCAACTTTTCCCACTAAAATGAGTGATCCCTTTAATGACCAAGAAGTCACCATTCCAAGTAATAAAATCTACTTAATATTCCTTCACCACAATTTCTTGTAAAATTATAGAAAAAAAACTTCAGCTGAATGCATAAGCTATGACAAGTATTTTGTAACTGACTGTTCCAGTGTTTATGTCATATCACTTCCAAGTGGGCTGATAGCTAGGGCATAATACGTGTGGCGTTGGACTGAAATACCCTGGATACCAATTCCACACATAGTGTGCCATAAAAGTTTCCACAACAGAGGACCATTTAACCAAAGTTTCCACAACAGAGGACCATTTAACCAAAGTTTCCACAACAGAGGACCATTTAACCAAAGTTTCCACAACAGAGGACCATTTAACCAAGGTGAGGTAATACGAATGTAGGTGCTCAGCTTGTGTCAACTGGTCAATTACATAACACTATTAGAACATCCTCATCATCTGGTTCTGTCTGGACATTGGCACAGAGCTCTTATAAACCAGATTTCACAATGCAATTTTAATCTTCTTCTGAAAATATACATTTTCACTTGAATATTGTGAGATATCTTAAGTTGATGTACCGCTTATGGAGAATCCTTGTGTCTTTCAGTTTGAATCCCTCCCCCCCAACACATACATAGATCAAAATAAAAACTGTCAAAAGATTTGTTGCACTACAAAATATCAACTATTATAGTCATGACTCTTGATAACTTAGTGGGATTATCATTATTATAATTATCATTAGCACATTAATCTTTTAAGACAAAAAAAATCATTTGCTTGGCATTAGTTTAAACAATTTTCTTTGCATGAATTCCTCCTAACTTGTTTAAATCTTTATTTTCAGTCAAACTGGTGGCCTAATTTATTGCCCAAAAGACTGCAAAATAACGGACTACATGCTGCAGAGAATAATCTTTATTACTAATTTTTTGTCATGTAAATAAACAGTCAGAGATTAATGTTTAAATGTCATTACTTCATTAACATCTTGTTATCACTTTACATAAAAAAAAAAAAATGAAATCTGCAAGTTTATATGTTCCCAATGGATAACAATTTAGAAAACCACATGGTCCAAAATATTCTTGGTTCATGACTTGGCCATTCATATAGTAATGATCAAAGACCTACTGATATTAAGAATGCACCACAAAATGTGTGGACAATGAAAGACCAATGAATAACAGATTGGATCTTCTCAACAATTTGGTCTCTACGTACCTTTTCCCAGGCTACACTATGACCCATGTGACTTCTGGGGGGAAATGATGATGTCAACAGGTGACTACATCTGGTCAGGCGGTAGGGACAAACTACCTAACTCTTAGCTTTTACAGCCTGAATACAAGGAGCAAACGAATACCTTTATATCCTGCAGAAGAGCTGTTTTTTACAGGCTTCAGCTGAAAGCAATATCATAAGTGTAAAAATGTGTTTTAAATCATAAGATGAATAATACATTGACTGAACTGATGGCCTGAAACAAACTATCTGTTTAAGGAAATGAACCCTGAAATATAGGGTAGTTAGCTTTGAAGTGCAGAATAATACACAAAATCCAAGAGTTCTTTTTACTTAAGCTATGTTATTGGGTTACCTATCACCACCATATACTAAGGGACTCTGCTGATCAAAATATCAATGACAGGCAGATTTAGTATTGTTTTCGGGTGCCATTTTTACCTGTGAGCCTGCCTGGAAACAATCAATCTTAATTGGGTGTTGAAAGCAATCAGTTTTGGGGGATGCCTCTGTAACCGTTGCAGATAAATCAGCAAAACTGGGTGTGGTTGTTGAAAAAGTAGGGTGCTATAGATTGTTGATAAGATCTTTAAAATCAATGTTAGGTGGTCTTGTTTATAAAGGTCCAGTGAAAATTAGTGTAATTTCACATCATTAGTGATAAAATCTAAACAAAGTGATTGTGGGAAAGTTGGTTGCACCCCTTTGTAGTGCTCACGAACAACTCCTATTAGCCATTAGAATTTTCCTGATATGAGCCCAGAAAATTAATAAACTGAAAATAACATTTTCGCCACCAAACCGCTGCTTTGACGTCATCAGCAAAATCACCATAGCTTATCTGGAGCTAAAAAAGTCCATGAATATACTATGATAATATTGTAGCAATCCAAACTGAATAAAGGTAATTTTAAGCTGATTTTAGCTAATGTTATATGTAACCTGAAGATACTAAAATCCTATAAAGCACAGTCATTTCTGTTTAGACTGACATTATATTATGGTCCACATCCTCTATTAACACAAATAGAAACCCTGTAAACATCACCACCCACCCAAGCAGCTGAGTAGTAACCATGTATCAGACCTCCTTTACAGGACAGATAAGTTTTTTAAATGACAAGTACGTCATGTTTCATCTTCCTGTTTCATAAATCAGCTCCTCCACTGGCTGGTAATGTGTGATCTCCTGCAAGTTTCAGTAGGCAGAGAATGGTCTTCATCTCCCCAGTGCTATCACTGAGGACAGAGGGGATGAGACCTGCAACACTTCACAAGTTTATTACAAGCTGTGATCTATATGTCGTGCTGTACATCTACATGTGAGATAAGGTTGAAAGTCTCAAAGGCTCATTCCCAAGAAGCTATCATTCCACGTAGATCAATCCAAGTCCAAGGGACTCTTTCTGAACTAAGATATAATCAGCAGCTTTTTCTGTACTCTACTCAACACTAGGAGGAGGCATGTTAATCTGTTAATTTGACTGCATTCAGCAAGAGTCTCCGTAGAGTTGGATCGATCCATGTAGAATGATAGTTTTATTGGGAATGAGCACTAAGAGACATTCATATTTTCTACGATCTCTACTCAATTCATTTCAAAGCTCATGGTGCATCGTCTTTATACAAAGATATGTGGTGATATAACTAAGGACAAAAGGTGAAACTATCATGATATTAGTTTTTCCCCAATCTAAATCTAAATCATCCATGTTCTCTGGGCTCAGTCAAACATGAAGGTTACCCTTCAAAATGATTAGGGAAATGTATTAAATTGGCAATAAATCAATTTTCAAAGCAGTGTGCTAGTACTTTAGTGCTTCCCTGTGTTCAACACTTGAGCTCTATCAAATAAGGGAATAAGTCCAAATGAACCCTCAGGAACTCATTACAAGAACCATGAATCTAAATGAAGTGAGGTCAAGGGTATCGGTTCATCTTTGAGACCCAGCTGACCTCTGCCGCACAATAAAAAATTTCAAAGAATAGCAGTACATAGATGACATCTGTTTTAAATGTGGGTATACTGCATGCAATACAAGCTCCTGCAGCAGTCCAATCAGACCAAATTATTCCTTGAAAAGACTAAAAAAATACCACTGAAATTGAAAGCACACTTTTTGATGAAACTACTTAAATATCTGAATAAAGGTCTGGGCATGCTTGTTTTACATTTCTTCAGCATCTGTTATATCTGTTACTAAGAGAACTTTATACTGTATAATGTATAACTATATAAAAAATATACATATAAAGAAAGTCTCTTTTACCTGAGCTGTTGGCGTGTAGTGAACATCCTGCACTCACATCAAAGAGAAAATCAGTTCATTTATACATTATTTACAATCCATAAAAAAGAAGTTTACAAATATTTCCTGTTGCATTGTGTGTAAATACCAGTTCAACAGCGCTGTCTATGCACAGCAGACAATTCAATTGTTCACAATATCTGCAGAAATCATTTCAATTTGAACTCCATTTCATAAATGAGAAAGCAGCATCCCAATATCAATTTACTAGCTAGATTATGTCTGGGATTTCAAGGAGCTATGGAAATACAGACCACAGACCTTATTCAATTAACTGAACTTTCAGAAAAGGCAAAAGTGCTAAGTTAAGAATTAAGTGGTATTTGGATATACCCAAGGGTACAAGCTGTAGGAATGGAGGGAGAGTCAGAGAGAAAAAAAAAAAAAAAAAAAATATATATATATATATATATATATATATATATATATATATATATATATATATATATATATATATATATATATATATATATATATATCTTGCAAAACTACTAAGATTAAATTTTTTTATTTTATGATGTGACACAGTTGCAGATTGAAATCTGCACATTGCCTACATACTATTTCTATCCTTAATATCTTTATAATTCAAAAGTTAACTAAACACCTTTTTTAAATGTCAACAAATTAAGCAAAGCATATCCATTTGAATAAGTACAAATTAATGTGTAATGTACCATAGAAATTATTCAAAAACTGATAACTGTAGGAGACAACCAAGTAAATATGCATAATGCAATAGTACAGCTTTATTTTATGATTGGCAAAGGAGACTAAATGGAAATATCAAGGGTCTGATGTTAACCCATTATGCTGAAAAGTCACTTGTGAGATTCTCCTCAGTGTCAGCTGAAGATGTGTACTGTGGAGAAAGTTAGACAGAACTGATATCAGCGGCACACTTCATCAATGGAGTATCAATACCACCTGTGCTGGTGACACGCCTGTTAATCCAGCAGACTAATACCAATGGCGTGTACACCCAATTAAGCATGAACGCACAGTTAACATTACAACATTACTTTGTACTTAACATCACAGGACATTTCAACATACCTGATTACTGAGTAAACTGATATTCACATATCTTACCTGGAAAGTCACGCTACAAACCACATTTCCACAGAGTATTTAGCATTAACAGTCGCAACATGCAACCACGAACCCTATGATATATTTAAAAATCTAGTTATCCAAATTTGTATCTTATTTCTGGCTCAGTCAACCAGCATGTCACCATGGTGGAGTTAACCAGGACAACAGCTCACCTTGATCCACCTGTCAATACAGGGTGCGTGGAATTCGTGGAAACAGGTCAGAATTCTCAGGTTCTCCCCGTCAGTATAGTCACACATGCATATGTGGCATTCTCTCTGCTCCACCTCATCTGTTTTAGAATAAGATTTTGTTGGTAGGCAGGATATCTCTTCAGTTGACAACCCTCGCTTCTTCACATCTCCCAGTCTCTCCGCCAAATCCAGTAATTCCTGTAATATAAGAGAGCCACTGGAGTAGAATGGAGTGTCAGTCATCATTATTTTCAAGCCGACTAATCATTAACTTTAGCAAAGCACATCACACATAACATGTAGAATGGAAACTTTGAGCTGATGTCAGGCAACTAACTCATCCCACATAGATAGCCCTTCAGCTCCTTAAATAACAGCTAATTATAGACAGAAAATACACACTTTTGCCAAATTTATAAATAACTTGATTCTCTGTTTAAGTTTTCAGAATATAAGGCAAAATCTCTCACGGGATGGTTACAATGTGCTCTAGTGAATAGTATTGACAGGTTTATGAAATCTCTTTGCTCTCCATTCTGAGATAAGACTCAATACTACATGAACCGCCAGGATTTCTTGCACTAATGCCAGTACTAAGATGCTAGTATTCCCTGGTAGAATTATAATCATGTCTGCAAAGCAGATCACTAATTATGATTATAATGACAAGGACTGAGATGTATGAAGTGAATAATTGAATAAATGAATGCAGACAAATAGTGGTTTTGTAGTGCATAAACATAGAGGAATAATGAAGAATGTTTGTAAATATTCACTCTGATACTGCATGTATACCACATACTGCAGCAGAATGCTTTATTAAAAAAAAAGTGCACCACAGCCCAAGTCAAAATTCCTCAAATACTGTTCACAATGATTCATTGAAATTTCATTCAGTGTATCTTCTTGTTATTTTCTCTGGTGCATAAAAACTCTGCCTTGATGGCTTTCAAAACAATCTTTTGCGTTTTATACAAAAACGATGGTTGAAAAATGGGCAGCTGAGATTAAGCCTTCTTCCAGCTCATGTCAGTCTGTATCCGTAGGATAAAAAGAACATCTTCTAGTCATAATAAGTAAGATAGGCCATATATTGCAGACACCAGAGGTGTTTGAATTAAAGAGATGGATGAGTTAACATTCCAAGGATGATAATCTCATGGGCTAAGACATTGATGCTAATCACATAGAAAAGGCCCATCTTTCAGATGTGGGCACACACACGCACATAACAGCACACACACAGAAGCACACAAATACACAAATGAAATAAGTGGCACACACACACACATACACACACACACACACACACACACACACAGTGTGGCAGAGGTCATACGACAAAAAAGAAATGTATTCCCGCTAGTCTAGTAGTATATTTTTGGACAAAGATTTATTGAACATCATAGAAACATTCCAATAACTAATGACTGGAAATAGTTCTCTGCAGTAATGAGGAAATACCTTTTAGAAGTGTTCAGAAAATTTTTCTTTGAGTTATAGTGTCTTCTGAAGAATCAAAACCTCAATTTTGGTGTATTTTTTTTACTCCACCCAATAAATACCTATCTAAATTTCAATTTGTATAAATGCTGTGCAACGGAAATATTTGTTGAAATGATGTATAATTCAACTTAGGCATCAAGACAATAAATGAGTCAAGTTAAACATGTGTTCTTCTAAATACTGCATGAAGCTGTCATGAAATAATAATAAGAATACACCTGAGATCAACAGGTTAACATAACTTATGTCATGCCACATGTTCAGAGAAAATGTCATCATCATTTCTATCTAGAACTGAAAGGGCGCTTACCTGCAAAACAAAATAATAAATAAATAAATAAATAAATAAATAAATAAATAAATAAATAAATAAATAAATAAATAAATATCAGTTCAATTGTAGCAAAGTAAATAGTTTGTTTCTAAAATGAAAGTGTTTAAAAACAATTTGAACTGCTACTGATTTAAGAAATATCACTTACAAGGGTATTCCTCCTCACTGTGTGCCAGGTTTTCTTCACCCAAACATAGAAATATTCCCTCTCCCCTTTCCATAAATCAAAAACTATTGTTAATTCTCCCTTTAAAAAAATAGTGACATATACAAAACAAATTAAAGCCAAAGAAAAAATTTATAATTAAGATTTTGTGTTAAATTTCAAAATTTCAATTTCCAATTTTTTCAAAGTTGATTGCAAATACACCAACTATTCCTTAAATCACGCAGGTCCAAGCTGGATAAAGCATTGGTAACATGAGGCCACAGGTGTTTATATAAATATTGTATGAGGAGTATGGTAATGGTCACTTGTTTCTCGTGGACAAAACTGGATGATGGTATTTTGGACCAAATCTTAGTTATCCCCAATTTATGCTCTGTTATAATTATAATCACTATGTTTTAGAGTAAATATTATGATGTTGGAACATGGTTGATTGAAAATGTTTCTTTTGCCCATTAAGCAGTATATGGTTCTTATGCAATGCTGCATCCACATAATCTGCCTCACACCCCACACTCACATGACTTGTTACATAACAATAATAATACTTAGTTTTGACGCAAAATGTGTTAAGATCAAATGACACCAGGATTAAAATGCACGCCAAGTTTGTAACCTGTGAATCTTGATTTATATATTTTTTTCTGAGTCCTTCACATTGTAAAGTTATCTGAGTACACCAACTCAGACATGTTATTATAGTAGTTGTCATACCACTAATGGCTTGAGAATTATTATATTGTCTACCTCTGATACAACTCTAAATCTGTAGTCTATACTCCATTTTATTATTTAATAAGCATATTTCATGTGAGACAAACAGTATTATTTACTACCCAGGTTATCAGTCTTCATGTTTAAAAATCTACATAATAAACTTTACAATATTGGCCAGACCATATTAAAAAAAAAGTCAAAAAATAGGAGTAGAGTGCATAAAAACTAATCATTTTTTATCTAGGAAATGGGGGCTCCCATCAATCACATATGACATATACTAGTCCTAGCTTTATGCCTGGGTTACACTGGTGCTTTTGTGTCATCAGAATTATCTTTTTCTCACCTTTATTCTGAAAAAGAAAACTCACAATAATCTAGCCAAGATAACTATCACATCTCATGGCCCCCAGGTGCCACTGCCACTCCTGTGGTAAGTTTTGAATTGAAAGATTGTGGTGTAAGAGTGGTTGGGATAATAATTTTCAATAAAGTAACAGCACTGCATCCATGATTTCTTAATAATACCCCACACATGAAGTAACCACACATGCTGATAATACAAGTGTAAGTTTGGATAAGAAGATGTTTTCACAGGGTGCTACCATTGCCCCTAGACAACTTACCATGACAACAGTTTACAAATAGACACTGTATAGCTACAGTATACCAAATACAATCTATGTCACCCTACCTAAAACCCTCCACCCTTCCTCCATAGTTTATTCTCAAAGCTTAAGGAAATCAGTTTAATATTATTTTACAGATGTCATGGCTGTTAAAATGCACTCATTACTTTGTTTAAAGGGATAATAACTCTTCGTATGAGATCTATATTTCACAATAAAAACATTGTGAACAACTCGTAGAAATATAATATATTCTGTTTTACCACAAAAACGACAGTTATAGCTATTATTCTGATATCTGAGATTGTCTTTAGACCACGTGACCTACATTGATGGCTATACTCTGTTATAATCTCTTAAGAGATTATAACAAAAAAAAACCCCAAAAAAACAAACTTTTTAGAAAAAAAACAGGGACTAACTTTGAATGTAAAAATGGATTCATCAACCATTGGTAAGTATGGGAATATTGTTGTTTACTCCAGGAAAATTCATTTTTTTGGCCAAAACGAAGAGTTATTATCCCTTTAAGGATTAAAATGTTCCAACAAATACAGGCATCTTAAAATTTAAGATGGTGATCAAACTGTGGGTGGTCTCATGGCAGTGAAATCAAATTACTAGTAATTCATTTCCCAGCTCTGTCATAAGCCAGTTGAAATAATAATTCCTTCTGCTTCACAGTGAGAAATGCTTGGCAATTAAGCAACACAACATAATTACATAAACATATTTCATGGTGTTCTGTGCACAGCTATATTGTTGTAATTTATCAAGTTCCTGATCCTATCTATCCTGCATTTAAACCACAATAAGACAACATACATAGTACAAACATGTAAGCATTTATGACAAAACTGCACCACACGAACCAAAAATCAATTTAATGCTGAATAAATGAAGAGATGCAGCAATTTGGTTATCTGCATGCATCACTGAAGGCAATTTAATGAATCAAGTAAGGAAAATAAAACAACACAATAAATAATAATGATAATAAATAAACAAAAAGTTTAGTACAATGAGGAGACTTGACTTCAGTGATAAGACTGAGGGTTCAAAGGCCACACAATTCTCCTGTCTTCATTTCAAGGCAACATAAATCACATTAATCTAAGCATATCAATTATAATGACTTTTTTTTCTGATTCTCTGCAAATAAATCTCAGGACATTAGCTCTTGCTATACAATGATAATTAATCATGAAATGGTTGTGAAATTAAAAGACATGTTATTGCTTGGTTCATGCCACATCAGAGCTTTTTACTCTAGGCAGTAATTTGATTACAACAACATTATACTTCTGAGGAAAAAGTAACTTTCGTGTTTGTTTAATTGATTGATTTACTCACCAGCCAAACAGGCGTGAGACATGTCAAAAAATAAAAAGGACCTATCTGATGCTTGCAGCACAGCGCAAATATGAAAGACACGAAAAATCAAGTTTTGTGATCGAATATTTGTGAAAACATTGACGAGTGATTTAGCTGTTCTTAGAATATATAGGGAGGACAATGGGCTGCTCTCAATAACTTTATTACTAATTAAAGCTGTTCAGAGGGTTATGAAAAACACCCTTCAACAGTCATATTCAATATTCACTTAACGGAAATTAAATTGGTTTTCAGCTGATCTGAGTATTCAGGGCTGGTTCTCTAAGCATGATCTTTTCTAATCATCTGTTCAGCTGATAGCGTGTGGCGGTCCTCTAGGTGAACCAATTTTTGCAGCTATATTTCCTGTCCAATAATCTGCCAAGATATTTGTATAGAGAAAACAATACCTACTGCAGAAAAGTGAAAAAGTATCTATCAAATGACAATTAGATTTGCCTGACAACCATTTCCATTGACATCAATCATACCTGCCTTCCTGAAGTAAAAAGAACCCCAGGGGCTTTATGTACTACATGGGACGAACTAGAGTAATACCAAACCACAGGAACAAACTGAGTGAAATTTCCCCCTGGCATTCATCCTAAACAGCTTTCTTCTACTTGCTGGACAATAACTTCAGCCTTCATTTACTAGTACTACTGATCAGGAAATAGATTTTAAAAGCGCTGTTCTGTTCACTGCCCAAAAGAAATCAAGCTCAAACACTGTTCACTGCTTAAAAGAGATCAAGCTCAAACAAATAAAAATGTAGGGCAAATATAAACTGATAAACACCCTTTGATAATGCACTTTTATACACAAATATGAGTTTAACTGCAGTGATTGTATATGAAGAGCAGATGACAATGTTGTACATCAATCAAATCAAACTGATGAAAGTTGACTTGATCATAGATCAGTGACTTGCCATTTACTTCCAGTATTCTAGTTGACCTGCTTCAATAATGGCTTAAAATGTAGGCCACTAAATTAACATGGTCTGTTCGCAATAATAAGCAATAATCAACTGGCAGAATATCTGTCCTATCCAGGCCCTATCAATTAGGTTGTAAAACAAACAAATATTTCCATCACAACTGATTAATCATCTAGCCTGCTACAACTTGTTTTGATTGAAATACAAAACGAATGCCATTTGTATATGAAATAGAAATACAACTTAGGTGACCCCTGGTATCCAGAAGATGCAAGACATGGAAAAGGTCCCATTTAACTCAAAACCTCCCCCAAGACCCCTATGGGAGGATTTTCCCTGTAAACATTGGTGGTTCAATATCACCACCTTCTTCTGCTACTTCTTTCACAGGGACTGTCACACTGCAAGGATTTTTGCATCTTTATCTATAATGTTTATCAATGGGTCAAGTGTGTGCCGTTATCAAATCCACAGTGTTTTAACATGTCTGGTCACAAACCTATACTTGTAAACTACTCAAATCTCTTCAGCCATTCTGACACTTAAGGAGAGCCTTTTTCCAGCATAAGGAAAGCTTTTAACCAATATGTTTGTTTCTCATTCACTATCTATTTCACATTCTATATTGGCTGGAAGATGACTTATTCTGGAAAAGATCAAACTCATTTCTTTCAAAGTTAAACGATCTGCATTGACATTTACAGAAGCAGGAAAAAAATCAATGTGGCTGAAGAGCTCAGAGCAGTAAAGTTGCTGGTTTCAGAATATACAGGCGCAGGAAAAGATTGACTCCGTCCTACCTCGTAGTCATTGCCATCATTTGGTCCGTAGGCTGATAACCATGTGCGTCCAGCGCGCTGACGGCCCCTCCCCCTTCGCCCCACTGATACCTACAACAGTTGAAATAACACGATTAGTGCCACTCAAAAATGTCACTTTTCAACAGGCAGCATTTTCTGTTTCTAATATACATTCTAAAGAATAGAAAAATAAATTGGAGTTGACTAAACGTAAGTGCTCATACAATTATTCTTATCAAGTACAGAATCAAAATATCTGGCTAAAATCAAACATAAGATGCTTCTTAATGATAAAATGAGCTTGTGTAATTCAATTTTCTTTGTATGACTTCATTTCAGTTAACAATTCCCAGAAGTAACCACAGACAAACTGAAATTTTGAATGAAGCATAACCAAATTGAAATAGACACTATGGGAAAAGTTTTAATAGGCTCTTTTTTTCCTCTGATGCATCACTTTTTTTTCACAGCTTGGAGTTTTCACCATAGATCTAACAGATAACGGTCTATCAGAGTACCAGAAATATTTGAATAAAAATCTAAGCTGACATTCTAAATCAATAATACACAACTTATCTCTTTCTGTTTTTGAGAGCAATATAAATCCATAAAAACTACAATTGACAGGAAAGTTACTAGCAACTATGAGCTACAGTGGCTAGCTTACAGCATTCACTCTGTGATTTCGTCTGGCTGCCAAGTACTGCATGACTTCTTGATCAAGCATACCTAAACATACAAAAATGATAAAAAGGTTATTCAGACAGTTGCTCAAGTGATTCTTTTGTACTAAAAAAATAATGTAAACTGTAATAGAAGAGAGAGAGAGAGAGAGAGAGAGAGAGAGAGAGAGAGAAAAATGGAAGGAGGGATGGAGAGCGGGAGGCTAACCTTGCACTTCATCCACTGTGTAGGCAAACCTTTGACTCTGGGCTGCAAGCTCTGGGGTTGCCTGTTCTAAATGAGTCGCCTGGAATATATACATCATCATACTTACATTGATACAGAGTTCAATACACCACTGTGATGACTGATAAAACATTCATCCTCTATAATACACCAACCATTCCAGATACCAACTTATAAAACCCTTTAACCCTGTGTGGTACTTAATGCCTGCATACTGGGTATGTTCAATAAACACACTTATCATGTTAACACAGGCAAAATGTGAACCTTGTTTGTTAGCTAAAAATATATATGTTTGAAAATGTTCCACAGTCATATTTAATGTTTAAATATTCTGCAAAGCTACCAATCTTTCCCAATTCAGATCTTACAAAATGATAAAACCACTAAACCAAGATCATATATCATAATTTCCTTTTGAAATGTACATCTATACTGTACAGTATGTGACTGACCAGACATTTATAATTTAGAAATAAATTTTATCATTAAAAATTGTTTAAGTGCAGGGACAGGCTGAACAATGTTTCTTGAATAGGAGAAAAACATTTATTTTAAAGAAAAATTTCATTTGATAACCAAAATTTCAAACAGGACACCACAGAGTTCAAGATAATTACCCTTTGTACGCCCCAACTAGCTCCGATCTATGTATACCACAGAGTTCAGGATAATTACCCTTTGTACGCCCCAACTAGCTCCGATCTATGTATACCACAGAGTTCAGGATAATTACCCTTTGTACGCCCCAACTAGCTCCGATCTATGTATACCACAGAGTTCAGGATAATTACCCTTTGTA